GGTTTATTTTAACTAAGTAAGTATGTAAGAATAAAAATGCTAAAAAAACGGATGTTAATTTTAAGAAGCAAATACACATAAAAAGTGGCGCTAAAAAACGCGAATCAAAATTATTTTTTTCTGAATTTCCCTATTCCAAATTTTATGCTAAGTTAATATAAAATTAGTTCTAAGCTTTTTGATATACAAATGACCCTGTATCTCTGAGCCTGGCAAAAGGTCATACTTTTCATATGTACGAAACATAAAAAGGTATATAGAAGTGTAGTACGAAACCGTTTTAAGTGCATTGAAACAATTGATCAGTGCTTTTGTTTATTTCGCTATGTTTTTTCCTCATGAGTTTTTCTCGAAAAATCAAAAACTACAGAAGTTTCAGATATTTTTTTGGCCCAGTTTTCGTCGTCCTATCCAAGGAAAACACGCCTGAGCTACTGAAATGGTCCACTTGCTTAGAAAAAACTGCTAGAATTTATGCACTTAAACAGTTTCGTACTGTACCATGTCTTGTACGAAACCTAAAACGGTTTAGAAATGGTTGCATTAGTTTATTTTTGTGTTGAAAATATGACTTTTGAATTCGATAACAAGTGGTATAAACAAAAAGATAGATTTGCGATGGTCACGTCCTTATCATCCCAGACATTTATATTCAAGACTTTCTAAAGAGATTGCTAATACAACTGCAGAGCTCAACTGTTCTTTAGGAGCATCGATTACAAGAAAGGGGAGCGTATAATGTATAAATAAAAGTAAAAGTGAGTTATTTCTCAACAACTTTTCTGTTGCAAACTCTTTAATACAAAATTGGTTATAGAAGTATTGTTCATTTAGGAATACAAGTTTGATTTAATCAAACTGATTATGTTTTTGTTTGAATTGAATTAAACATATTCTGTAGACGAATATCATGGTTTGCAGACGACTACCATGATAGTCTACATGAACATACATGTTCATAGTGTACTTCAGTCACTGCTGTTATCATGGAATGTAAGCCATTGAACTAAGAACTGTATCTGGAGATACGTCTCTTTTGATTTATTTATGCAGTTTTACTTTCTTTAAATTTGCAGGAACGATAACCTTGGATATGAATTATTCTTTCGAACGAATAGAAATCCTACGAAAGTTTACGATTCCGATGATGACTATTGTTATGTTCATGCCTAGATGAATAGAAATGGCCCAATTAGTAAACGTCATTTTTTCGTTCTTCTGTTGCTCTCTTTTTTCTCATTCTTCACTCAAGTATGATAGAACTACCAAAACTTAGCTTTTCAGGAAAATTTGGAATTTCCGTTGTTTCGTTCGACCACGTCGAAAATATTTGCGGTGCGATCGCTACGGCTTCTAGTCAAACAGATACTGTGCAATTTAACGACAGGTGAGTTAGCATTTAGCTGATGTACGTAACGGAATAAGTTGTCCACATTATTGAAAAAGCTTTATAGTTTTGCTGACAAATCCTGAGTTGTATTTCTGCATTCATTTTTACCATTGAAAAAATAATAGTATTTTTTATTACCGACTGTAACTCAAGAACAGATGTAGTCAACATCTTATTTTGAATTAACGTTTTTGTCATGTATTTTAAACGAAAACGACTGCCGCTTTCTTAGGATAAAGAAACTACGATGATATATGCATTCGATTCCACTCGTCGTTTCCTATACAATGATGTCTGAACTAGCTTGTGAAAATGCATGGATGTCTCGCGGCAAGTTCATCAGTATGAGCAGGAAGCGAACGTTTAATTCGTTTAGAAAAGATTTCTTTCGTATTGTTACAACACATCTTGAATGGTATATTTGTATACCAATGCTGTTTGTTTTGAATGACAGAGTGCTTTGCTCTAATCCCATGCCTATAGCATTTCTCTGCTTTACTCGTTAGATTTGAAAACTCGCGTTAGTTACGATTACATGACAGATTCGTAAATGTCTGCAGTGTGATAAGCTAGTGTAAATGCCTGTAGACAATGTAAGAGCTCTCGAGTTCAAACGGGACCCAGTTTATTATTCACTTCTCAAAGAAATTTAATTATTTCTTAACGCCGTCGAACTTGTATTTTTGTTTAAAATATGATCGCTGCTTCACACACAATTGAATCATCGTTCGAAAAAACTTCATAATTCTAATTACAAATAGTTTATCTACCCATCTTACCAAACAAGCAAAGTTATACATGATACCTGTCTGAAGCAAAGTATTTTTTGATATTGGGTCTTTTCATTAAAGCATTTGCATGCATTTGCATTAGAGGATATCCATCTAGTCCATTTCCTTTCAGCAATCCGTCATCATGGATCACTTGCCATAACATAAAATCGGCATACGTAATCTCCTTTCCAATAAAAAATGGACCGCCGTACTTTTTCAAATGCTTCTCAAATACGACTAAATATTTTGGAACATCTTTTTTCAAATGTTCTTCAAACTCTGTCTTATCCTCTGCGAAATAGGCTTTGGCAAACAATGCTCGGAAATCGATCACAATGTCTGCCATGGCGTCCACCCAATACGTGGTTTCTGGTGTCGTGCCGTTGTAGGCGCCGTCCAAACGATACGAGAACAAACGTAAAACGGGTGCTGATTGGGTCAGGAACTCATCGTTGAGTTCCACAATGGGAATAGAGCCTGTGGGATTCATTTTGGGAACAATAATGGATTTCTGGTATTCTGGAAACTCTTGGAATGTGTAACGTTTGTCGATGAAAGAAATTTCAGCGTCGTAGAAGAAGAGACGGAGCACCTCTCCACGTCCTAGAGAATAACAAAAAGATAGATAGTAGAGATGATTTGTCCAGAGCCCCTGTACACACCTTTCGATCCAAAGTCAAAGTAGTGCAATATTGGAACACCCCCAATCTTTTCGTTTGCCGCCGTTGGTTCGCTAATTGGTGGTAGTACAGTAGGCATGGTGGTGCTGGTAGTTTCGAACGTGAGACGATTGAAAGGTGAAAGAGAAGAAGAAAAATAATCTACAATTACCTTAGTGAAAGAAAAGGAGTGAGAAGTATCTCATTCAACTTCTTAACTATTTACACAGGTAAAGTCACGACCTGCTGCGATACGGTACAGAAGCACTTCTAAAATCTTTCATGTTTTACATCTTGAAAATCATACTGTGTGTTTAAAACGTAAAAAGTTAGTTTACACGTTTTTTTCATATATTTTTCATAATATGTGCCAAGTGTAGTTTACGATAAGAACAAAATGTTTGCCACACAAATAGCATAGAAAGCCGAAATGTTTTAACAATCAAAGCAGAAAAATATGCAAAATATTTTGTTAATGTCAAATAATTACGTTAGAATATCTATTTCAGTTTTCGCCTGATGAAAAAACAGAATCGAACTATGTGTGTATTACTGATTTTGCGGAAAAGTATTCAGTTAAAAACTGGGGAAATTAGGTTCTTTGAGAAAACTCGACTTTGATCGATTTTCTCAAAAACGTCCGTTTTTCAGGCTTTCACCTATAGTTACGCAAATCATTTTAGTAGGATCGATCATAGGCTACTAGATGAGTATCATTTATCCTTAGAATTAGTCTAGCTTGATCGATCACCTGTTCATCTTTCAAAGTTCAAACTCTCGGTCTTTCATACATCGGTAGAGTGGAATCCATCCTAATCCTTCCAGTATGCTTATATTTATGTGCAAACGAATTTTCTTCATATCTGAGAAATATGAATCTGTCGATTCGGAAACTGCTTTCAACGGTGAATTTCGATTTCATAAACCTAATTAACTACGAAAATAAGAGTACATTTATTTTACTTCAAGGTATGCCACTATCACTAAAATTACGGTTGAATTCTCTTTGTTTATAGCTTATGTACGCTGCTGTTAAGGAAGAAATTTTGAACGTGTTCTTTTAGTTCAAATGACGGCGGTTCATCACAATGTAGCAGAAATATTCATTTAAGGTGCCCCAAATTCAGAGCTACAGTGACATTTCAGTTTGTGGCTCAAACATAATTAGCGGCAAAAGCTGCATACTGCAAAGTATATTAGAAGGCTCCACAGCTATACGAGGTGCCTCCTCGTCAAACTTCAGAGAGCATCAGTTTCGACCTCTCCGCCCACAAGCCTATCAATGCCCTCAGTTTAAGAGATAGAACCTTCGCTTTTGCGTCATTCGAACCGCCCCCAAACGTTGAACAAAATAAACCTGCAAGTTTTTCGTCCTTTCTCTCCGTTGCTGAGAAATTTCACTTTTTCTAAATCATTAGCGGAAAACTCGGAATTCTGCCCGTAATTCTCGATTTTCTCCACAGAACTCCCTTTTTAGGCAATAAAAGTATCATGTTCGGAGGCAGCGTCCAAAACCAAGTGGAATGATGTACCGTTTTAACCTGTCAGACTACGTTTATTTCATTCGAATTTTCACATCGAAAAATTACTGAGCTTCCTACCAAAAAATCGACATCAACAAAATAGATACCATTCGACTCGGTTTTGGACGCTGCCTCCGAATATGATACTTTTATTGCATAAAAAGTGAGTTCTGTGGAGAAAATCTCTTAAACTGAGGGCGTTGATAGGCTTGTGACCGGAGGGGTCGAAACCGATGCTCTCTGAAGTTGGACAAGGAGGCACCTCGTATGACTGTGGAACCTTCAAATATACTTTGCAGTATGCAGCTTTTGTCGCTGATTATGAAAAACACCTTCTGATGGTTCCAGGGTCTTGTGGAGCTGAGATACTGCGAAAGCTTCAGAAACTTGTGATTTTTCGAAAAAACGACAATTTTCAATCTTTTGATTTTTTTCGCTCAATACGTGCACTGAAAATTTTTAAAGTAAGATATTCGTCATCAGCGGAAAGTTCTGCATCGAATGATGTATGTTTGACCCACAAACTGAAATGTCACTGTAAGTCTGAATTTGGGGCGCCTTAACTAAATTTAAATCTTGCACAGAAAATAATTTTCTTGGACCGATGTACACGTATTTCGGTCGAGTTTTCTCAAAAAATCTAATTTCGCCAGTTTTTAACTGAAATGTTTTTCGTGAAATCACTGATAGCTCGATTCCGTTTTTTACGCTCATAACGAATATTAACTTTAGTTTATCTTTGGAAAAGTATAAAAGGACTAAATCGCTAATATTCATATTTTCCTGGAAAGTCCCTTTTGACTAGTCCATATTGTTTGCTGCTTTTCTTTATCAGACGAAAGGTTTTTCCAGAAAGTTTTGCTCCCAGAATTCCGACTTTTCTTAACAAAGAAATAAAATTTGAAAGACAGCGAGTTATACTTTTTTTGTATCGGATGATGGATCGAATGGCGCAAGGATCAAGACTCCATCTCTCAAAAGAAAAAACTCGATAGGTTTACAAAATGAGGGCTTGGCTTTCGAAACTATGCGTGAAAGTGAATCTTGAGACTTTCTTGGAAAATCTCGAGAGCTCAAAAGACACATTTTTAGTATCATCTTGAGCGCTGAATTCGAGAAAAAATGTTTGCGAATTTCAGAA